TAGTCTGTCAAACAGGGTATTTTCTGCTTATATACTAACTTTACTTTACAACCCGCGAGTCGGGATAGCTCATTCGGTAAAGCGGTTGGCTACGTGTTGGACGGGTCGGGTTCGTTTCTCAGCAATGCATAAATTTTCTCTTCTCTACAGCCTCCAGACCGGCTCTGGGTCCCACCCAGCCTGCTGTACAACGGGTACTGGGGGATTCTTCCCTGGAGGCAAAGCGGCAGGCGAGGTCAAGAATGGTGGAGCTATACGTCCACTCCACACGTCTTCATGGCACAGAGCTTAATTAATTAAGCACAGGGACAAATTCTTTTTTACTTTACAACCCTGAAAATGGAGACAATACGTGCCTCCGAAAACTGAATAAACTACCAGACCTTTCGGTGGATATTTCAGAAGATAATTTTCCGAACTGATAGTTTTAAACAACGTGCCACACCATTTTGACAGAGCTTTATGCTTATAAGGGTCGTCCACCGTCGCTATAGGCCCGGACAGGACACCAGTTCGTATTTTCCCCTGTGACTCTTTCGAAACGAAGAGCTATATAGACGTGGAACTTCACGCATCCTACACATCTGACAAAAGACAGACACGTCTTCTCGTCAGTGAAAAGGCGGCAACTGTCAAAGAGTTACTAATATCTGGTCATGAGCCTCAGATGGGGCTCGACATCAAGAGAGACTGACCGTCAGTCGCAACGTGACTTTGACACTTGGGCCCTGGAATGGTGGCGGTATGTTGACTCGGAATTGTCGGCAAATCTGCCCACACAAGAAATGAATCAAGATCAAGATCAATAGTGAACCAACGGGAGAACCTAACATCAGTCTGTATTTTACCAATAGCCAAGGAAGGGGTGAGTCCATTCAACTGCTAAGGTCTGTGTACAATAAACACTTCTGACAACCGCCTCCCGTATAATGATTTGCTTGCATTATGTATTTCAATTCATTCTGTGGCTTTTAAGATCACGGCCACTCTGATAAGCAGTCATTGATATTATGACCAGCAGATTACAGGCCAGTACAAAAGGTAATAATAATAATGATCGTTCACGACTGGCTTCTACTATCGATTGTTCACATCTCGCACAACGACCTCTCTCTCCCTCATTCTCTCTGAAACGTGCTATATTGGCAAGATTCGAGCGGTGTTGCCAGATTTCTCTCCCTCTCTCTAAATTTCCCCCTTTAAAACAGACAACACACGTCCCTAGTCTGGTAAATACCCCAGTTAAAGTCAGTCCAAACCCTGTCACTCGTAAACAGAGTGACATATTCATACGTGTCTCCGGCATCGGGTTCCGATGGAAGTCACAGGTTGGTAATCCTGATAGACCGTTCATTTGCCTCTTCCGACACATGAATGGTAAGCATCCTGTTGCATTACTATATCTAAACTGTTTATGTACTACACAGTCCCTCAACAATACAACAAACTGTTCCTCCTTTCTTACACTTTCGACATATATTTCGGCCCTAAATGACCATCTTCAGGTGTCTTACTTTGCCAAGACTGCTACACGGCACTAATATTGTCCACTTGTCACACTGCATGCTTCATGACTTAAAACGTCATAATCGTAGTCAATTGATATGCGTTAAAATAGCATACTCTGTAGTTCACTTAATTTAAATCAAATAAAACCTATCACATTTTTCTATTAAAATCTTCTATTAAAGTTTCCCTTAAATTTGTAAAATTCTTATTACACCTCATAAGGGCGAAACATGTGTCGAAAGTCAAAGTGTAAGAAAGAAGGAAAAATGTGTTGCATTATTGATGGACCGTGTAGTACATAAACAGTTTTAGACATGAATGGTTGTTATGCATGAGGAAATAAAGAAGCACACATGTACAAAACTGCGAACCCTGTTTACTACTACTAACATTATCTTTGTTTTGTTAATTGATTTCACTTCTGCTTCAGCTGTGTCTGCGTTACTTATCGTAGATAATACACCTGGGTGGGAAGTTTTACGAATCTAGAATGGAAGGTCGATCAATTAATCGACCCATTACACATCACAGAATTCGATTTATAAAAATATATTCTATAACAAGAAGTTCTGGGAAGAAACAATCGCCTACTTTCCTTTTACACGACACGGACTGCATAGAAAACGAACCTCCAACAATTCTTCGTCCTCACGGGTACGTCTTTATAGATTTGTTACCCAGCAACGATAGGGGGATACATGGACAGACCGACTCTCTTTAATATGATACGAACCACATAGAAAGTGAAGCGTTCAACAATTTTTCTATTACTGAGTGTATTCGATGCAGCTGCAACGTGTTTACCGAGCCGTTGCCTAGCACCGAAAAGAGGGATACACTTAACCGGACCGTTGCCTTGCAAAGATATGAGAGATACACACAGACAGACTGATGCGAGGCATTTATGAAGTACGCCGCTGAGTTCAGGTACCATAATATACATGCCGAATTTCATAAAGACTGATTCAGGCATTCAAAAGTTATTAAAGGGGATAAACAGACACACAGACAGGATACAGATCGCATAAGCCTACTTTAGGAAAGAAGGCTAAAAATGCTTAATTCATTATTAAATTATATTTTACATCAAAATAGTATAAAACATTCACTGATATGTTCTTTTTACTGGCTCTCCAGCCCCCTGTGCCCTGGCCTAAACAAAGGACAACACACACACAGTATAAACATATACACATACCAAGCATCCATGCCTTGCGTGAGATTCGAACCCACGATCCCGACTTTCGAGCGAGCAAAGATAGTACATGCCTTAGACCGCTTGGATACCGATATTTCTAAACATGGAAAGCTGTAAATATGTTAAGTATTTAGAATTAATAAATGGCGACAGTAAATGTGTATTATTTGCGTACAGTTTGTTTTTATGCTTTAGAATTTCAAAACATCGAACCCTCTTGTTATAGCAAGGTGCTCGCTACGTGGATGGAAGGTTCAGGACACAAGGGACAGGTTCTCATTTATGTGGAGGGATTTTCAGCGGAGCCACACCGCGAACTAAATCCTAAAGGGAAAACAGCTCGCAAAGATAATGGCTTAATCCAGATTACTGATAATCCTTATTTTCGGTAGGAATGAATGAGATTTAAGATAATGACTATCTTCTAGCGACTGTACGTAAATGAAGTTAGGGGAGGCCACAGTCTTATACCTTCTCTCCCAACAGAGCCACGAGGAGAGGGCTTCAGTTTCATCTGCAGAACGAGAGAAAACGAGCCTATAACACTTCAAAAGAATCTCTATGGTAATGGCTTCAAGCCAATTACAGAATTAAATGCAATGAGCCAATATTGTAATTTGGAGCAGTGACTGTTCGCGACTATATTCACAGAATACAACGAATTAACACCCTCTTTGTCTGTGGGTAAGGAGATGTCTGAAGGGAATTCTGTAATGGACAGAGGCCGCTTTCTTGAAAAAAGCGCTGTTCTCACTAAACGCCGTTTTATGAGTTTATATTCTGGAGGGAACTTCGTTGTGTGTGTTCCGTAATCAATTCTTGAGACCAAATCAAAGTTCGTATTGGCGAGTCCTACGGCATATACTGAGGAGAAAAATTCACATGAAATTTCAATCGGAAAACGTGAAGGGGAGAGACCATAGGGGAAGTCTGAGAAAAGACAGGAGGATAATATTAAAATGGATCTTAAGAAAAAGTTGTGTGAGATGTTTATTGCAGTCAGCTGAAACTGGAAAAAAGCCAGGCTGTCATGACCATTGTATTAAATTATAAAGGTTCATCTATCAGAAGTTACTGGACTGATAGAAATGGCGTATATATTGATAGAAACTGTGTAGGTACTTTAAGTTTACTGGGAAAAAGAAAAACCAGAGAAAACTATACTCTCGGAAATTGGCAGCATGGGTGGAATACCCGTCTTCTTAATATGAAAAACAGTGTTATTTGGTAAAAAAACTGGATATTATGTATATATATATATATATGTTTCTTGTTTATGTGTTCACTTTACAATGTCGAATTAGATATGGTTGGATCAGTGTGAAAGGATAAATTGACGGGTGTGGGAGGATTCTCTTGTGGCAAGACTTAAAATGGTCTCTGTATTCTCCAGGCCGGATTAAAATAAGAGTTGCAAGTACACTACGTTACACATATATTCTCATACCGAACAAAAACGAAATCCGTCCGATCGGTAGCGCCGATTTTGACATTTCATATCTGGGGCCCCTAGTTTCGATATCATTATTTTCCCGAAGGTACCACCCATGCTGTATTATTCAGGTATATGAACTCCCTATACTACAGAAATTAAATAAAGTTCCTTGCAGCGGTTTTCGAGAAAATCGTCTTTTTGTATTTTGTGGCTGATTTGATATGACCCCATTTTTTTTAACTAGAACTTCATATTCAGCAGATACTAATCTATGACAGATAAACTCTTAAATACTGAACATGAGTAAAATCCGCCCAACCGTTCAGGCGCTAGCGTGGTCCTCATCCATAGATATACAGACAAATTGCATCCCAGAAGCCATTTTTGGTATTCAGGTTGGTATGATATCATGTAACTATGCTGAAATGCTGAGATCAAATTCTTCGCCATCACAGCACTTGCCCACACATACTACGACTATGAGGAGATAAAAGAATTGAAAACTGGGTCTCACAAAATATAAATACATACCTACTCGTAGGTTGCAAGTTAGATTTAGTGTTGCGTTGTCTATTAGGTCCATAGATCAGGGGAAGATGAAACGGATAGAATTACGAGGGAAAGTCAGTACATAGGCCACAAATAGATATAAAACGTAAAACATATGATATTCGAACCAGGAAAAACATTCATTTCGGCCGCATTACAGTTCGCAGTATGTGAGCCCCAGAACAGTGTGGTGAGGAGAGAAATCCCTGTCTCTGCCAAAAATCGATGCCCGGTCGTCCCATTCACAACCAGTCACTGTTCTGACTGAGCTCAAGATTCAAACGGCATGCAGCATGATTGGAAACTTACCCTCCAGTGCACCCATATACACCTTGCCAGGATCAAAGTGCAGTTGACGCCCCGAGGAACTCTCGAATACCACGTCGGGACTAAAGAGGGTGTGATCTGGCCTCAGCAGAAGTTTGAAAACCCTGAAACATGCACAACACACTCAAATGAACTTAACAAATTGTTGTAGTGTTAACAAATTGTATCTGCCCACTGCGATAATGGTTACTTTGGAGGTCATATAGCATATATGGAAACCAGAAACAGACACAAAACTTTGATGAGAACATTTTCTTGAAGAGACCATACTTTTGGAACAGAAACGTAGGTTGCAAAATACTATTGGCATAAATCTGAGGGAAACAGGAACTTGACTGAACTCTCTCAAATACGGCAGAATGAAGGGCTCTTGTCATAGTACAGCTGAACAGTTGGGTTCCGTCAAGAGCTATTGATATTATTATTATTATTATTATTATTATTATTATTATTATTNGGCTGAACCTAAAAGCGAAACGACTGCACTGTCTACCCGGAAGATCGACACTATAAATACGTACAAAGCAAATTCCTCCCATACAAAGCAGTACTCAAATCCATATGGACCTATGGAATTTAGCTATAGGGGCAGCCTCTAATTCCGACATCGAAATCCCCCAGCTCTTTCAATCCAAGAGTCTCCGATCCAGTCTGAACGCACCTTGATACATAAACAACCACAGAATCCATGAAGATCTATAGATGAACATAGTTTTCAGTGAAATAAAAAAGTGGAATAACAAATACTTTAGAAAATTACAAAGCCATACTAATGCACTAACAGTGAACCTACTAGACAATTGCGAAACTACACGTAGACTGAAAAGATACACCGTCCTAACTCCAACAGACAGACCCAAGTAAAACCACAATACAAAAATTAAAATGAGACCCAAGTGAATAAAAAGAAATATAAATTACGCCACTGGCATTACTCATCCACGAGCCAGTATTTATTGAACATAAACATTTGTTGCAGATTCTGAAGATTGTGTATAATAAATGTGTGGAAAAATAAATTAATATTAGCCGTTCATCTGCAGTAGCGTATGGCAGTCTTTGCATTGTGCTCACGCTGGTGTCCTATCCAGGGCGTGTTAGTTGTGTACTGACGGAGTTCACTAACTCCTGAGGATGAGAACATGGGCTGGTGTCTTATCCAGGGTGTGTTAGTTGTATACTGACGGAGTTCACTAACTCCTGAGGATGGGAACATGGGCTGGTGTTCTATCCAGGGTGTGTTAGGTGTGTACTGACGGAGTTCACTAACTCCTGAGGATGAGAACATGGGCTGGTGTTCTATCCAGGGTGTGTTAGTTGTGTACAGACGGAGTTCACTAACTCCTGAGGATGAGAACATGGGCTGGTGTTCTATCCAGGGTGTGGTAGTTGTATACTGACGGATTTCACTAACTCCTGAGGATGAGAACATAGCTAATGACTTGAAACAGGCGGGCGTGGTCCATTAAAAGTAGCCAACTATTATCACACTCGGCTTGAAAGACCGAGAATTTCAAGAAGTGTCTCAGCCAGCAGAGCTGAGGTTCGAATTCTGTATTTCCCGAATACAAACTGAGAGACCTTACAGCTAAACCTAATCAGCACGGTTAAGTGGTTCCCGTTGACCCTTTGTATTTTCCATCTAACTCTATGGAGTGAAGCCTTTCTTGAGAAAGAAAGTCGTTTAGCTGGACGAGATACCTACCCCATTTTACGAAATTCGATTGCCCAATGTCAGTGGTGGCAACGACCTCTCATTCTACCCTACATTGCGCCACATAAACCGAGCCCACGCCCTCGCACATTCAGTTCATTAACATTCGTTTGACTGACATCCTTCAGTCTTCTCCTACGTTTCCCACAAAGTTCCATCCCTTTCGGGTTTTGCAACAATATTTGGAAGCACGTATCGTCCTTCCTACGTGCGCTATATGCCCCACCCATTTCATTCTTAATGATTTGATCACGCTAATATAATCTGATGGGCACAAACTATAAATCTCCCTATTTTGTATTGTTTCCATCCTGTTATTTCCTCTATCTTACGTCAAAATATTTTCCTGAGCATCCTGTTCTCAAACACCCCCATTATGCGTTTCCCTCTCAGGGTGAGAAACCAATTTTCATTCCTTATTGTACAAACGGATTCATCCTCTGACGTTTAGGTAAATGTGAAAAAAGGTAAAGGTGTTTAATTAATTTAGCACTACGCAATGAAGACGTATGGAGGAGTCGTTGTGTAGATCCACGTATTCTTGATCTCGGCACTAGTTGGACGTGACTGGTCAGCTTCACGCACCTACCGCTTTACCCCACAGGAAAGAGTCCACGGTAGCCACTGGATAAGGAGGTTGGGTGAGCCCCAGAGCCGGTCTGGACGACGTAGAGAGGTGAATTCTTGCCTCTACCATGACTCGAACTCCGGCCCCTCGGCCGTCCAGGCCGTAGTTAGAATACCGACTGCACAATTCCGGTTCCTCTGTTGTCTAGGTAAGAAGAGCAATCCAACTTCACGGGAATAAAAAAATTAGTAATCTCCTATAGCCCATACATCATAAATAACTCAATGCCCCTTCTATTTGCTGTACAAACCCCGCCCCCAACCGCGTAGTGAAGCTTTTCATGCATCAGATCGCCGTACCGATGCGGCAACTTCTCCTGCTAGTTTGTGAGGCGGGTAGTCGGAGCAGTGGTAACAGGCGTTCGGGCTCTATCTGGAATTAAGCGGAATCTCTGCTGTATTTTCGCTTTCGCCAGAGATCACTTCTGTTAATGTGTACCATGCAGGCAAACGCGCTAGTACTTAAATGCAGCACCAGGTGGGAATATGAAGACGCTCTAAATGGCAGTAGAAACGACTTGCCCTTTCAGATAACGTACTGCGACCTTAGAACTCCCGTTACTACAAAACGTCATTGTTATTCCGCTGCATGCACAGAGGAACTGAAGGTTAATCGACAGACCAGCATCTCTATAATATGTGGTTCCTACAAATGAATGTGGTATTCGAACCTTAAAATAGGCATGACCATTTTCCATACAATTTTACACTATACAGTAGACTCTCGATTATCCGCGGTAATGGCGGGGAGACTTGGCGCGGATAATCAAAAACATCGGATAAACCGAAGTACACATATACAAGCCAGATATACCGGTATAAATTTAACATCGTTAATTTTTTACACCATAAAACGCTACTTAAGCTTACCTTTTGTGATGCAGGCCAATGGTTCTTCATTATAAAGCTTCTGAAGTACGGTACATAGCCTATTATAGTTGAAACTGTTCTATTGTAGATTTATACACTGAAATACACCTACACTGTAATTTTAACCACACTAATATCCTAATGCCGTAACACGAAAATAATTGAATCTAATACCATTATACAGTACTGTGCACTAAAA